TGATCTGTGGTTCTAAGATTGAGCACACAAGGTGGTAAGTGTGTAAGGCAGACCTACAACCAAAAGATCAACAACCGAAGGCAAAGACCTGATTTAGGGCACCCACCCACCTTGGAGAGTGTAAGCAATCACCAATATTTCAAGTAGGAGAAATGCTCAGCTCAGGGAGTTCCAACTATTTTCCTTCGGCAAGTAAACCCCAGAACTTTAGCAGGTCTTTATACAGACACTCAGAATTAATTCCATCATGTAGATTCCCTTGCATCTGAGTGTTCCGGGTCTTAGGGTGGGGGCAGAGCAATGTATGCAACCAGAGCGTTGTAGCTTTAAAGGGAAAGAACATGTTTTTCTCCCCCCCCCCCTTTTTTTTCATGTTGCTGCTGAATATAATTAGACATCTTGGATTGTGATGACAAGGACCACACCCTAGGATAGCAGAGCAATAAGAGTAAAAGTCTCTGGGGTTCTTGGGTGGCTCAGTTGGTTAAGCATCTGCCTTCAGCTTAGGTCATGATCCCAGGGTCCTGGGATCAAACCCCATGTCAGGCTCCCTGCTTAGCAGGGAATCTGCTTTCTCCATCTCTCTCTGCCTACCACCCTCCACCCCCAGCTTATGCTCTTGCTCTCTCTCTCTCTCAAATAAATAAATAAAATCTTAAAAAAAAAAAAAAGGATAAAAGCCTGGGTCTTGATCATTGTAAAGTTACCATATTGGCCTTGAACTGCCTAAACTTATACTTTAATGTTGTTTGGTGTTAGGACAGCCAAACTAATATATAGCAGATTATAGGAAAGTCTGTTAATCAAACAGTAAGATTTTTCAGATACAGCTTAGGTACAAAGGACATACTAAACCTATACACCCAATCTGTGCTTTCCCTGGGAGGTTCCAGTCTTGGCTCCAAGTTGTGGCCTGAACATGACTCCCTTACCTGACGGCCACAACTGCTGAGCGCTGTCGCAGTCAGAGCTCTCAGGACTGAACTCCCTTCTGTGGCTTGCTCGGGGCTGTGAGAGCCACTTCTGCCCTCCTTGACCCTCTCCTAGGCAAACTTGATTATGTGTTGGCATGTAGTCACAGTCATTAGCTTCGTTCCTGGAATTCTCTCCTGGCTTCTGGTGGAAATTAAGAACTGGAGACTTAGACTTTCGGAGACCAGTGTAGGGAACGAGGAATAGCCTGTCTAGCCCTAGAAGCCATTGAGATCCTCACTGAAAACTTCGCAGGTCTTTGTCCAGTGAGTATGAGCTTTAGCCTGAGACCAGCATTGAAGAAATTCGCTCTCCAAAAATGGAGAACTCCTAAATCATTAGATATCTTGAAACTCATTCTGGGTTCTATATACACCTTGCAGATTTTCTCCGTACTGCAATAACTCCAAAACTGATAAATATATTCTATTTCTGCCTCTCATTTTTTGAGTTTTTTTCCTGTGATAAAATATCCATACCATAAATATACTCTTGTGACCATTTTTAAGTGTACAATTCAGCGGCATTAACTACATTCTCACCACTGTGCCACTGTCACCACCGTCCCTCATCCCAAACTCAAATGCTGTATGTAGGAGACACTAATTCCCCATTACTCCCTCCTCCCAGCCCTTGGTAACCACTCTTCTACTTTCTGTCTCTATGAATTTGCCTATTCCAGGTACTACATATAAGTATGAGGCACAGAATCATACAATATTTGTCCTTTAGTGACTGGCTTATTTCACTTAGCATGATGTCTTCTAGGTTTATCCACACTGTAGCATGTGTCAGAATTCCATTTCCTTGTAATGCTGAATAATAGTCCATTGCATGTATATACATTTTGTTCATCCATTCATCCATTGATGGATACTTGGATTCCTTCCATATTTTGGCTGCAGAGAAACCTTGCAGCTATGAACATGGGTGTATGAACATCTATTCAAGTCTCTACTTTCCATTTTTTGGGGTATATACCTAAAAGTGGAATTGCTGGATTATATAGTAATTCTATGTTTGATTTTTTTTTTGAAAGACACCATACTGTTTTCCACAGCAGCTGCACCATTTACCTTCCCATCAGCAATAAATAAGGATTCCAATATCTCTACATCCATGCCAATAGTTGTTATTTTCTGCTTTTTTTCCCCTTATGATAGCTCTCCTATTGGGTGTGAAGTGGTATCTGTCTCTCATTTTTAATGTCCTCGATTAATTAGAATTTTAGAAGCTCCTACCAGTCAGTGCTAGTGTGAATCTTCTAGCGTTGACTGTATTCTTTGATAAAGTGCTTAAAGGAGGAGTTAGATATGGAATGGACTTGTCAGCTTTGCACAGTGGCAGTATCGTAGCCAATGAGGTTTATCCGAGGCGCAATTATTGCTAATTGGAATGGACTTGTCTGCTAGTTGTCACACCTCATTCCTCAAAAGCTCCTTCCCCAATTTTCAGTCAAACTACTTCTGCCTCTGATTTCATCAGGTTTACATAGTGCATGTCTGAGTAAGATTTTGCTTGATAGGAGTTCTTTGGCTTAAAAGAAAAGTTTGAAACCTTTCAGCCTACTTCATGCTTTCTAAGGTTCAAAGAGCTTAAGTGACTTTTCCAAGGTCTTTCAGCCAGGTATTGGCAAAGGTAAGATTTGAACAAAAAGGTATCCAATGAGACAGAGTATGCCTAGTAGCCATCATGGCAGGCAAGCATCCTTTCAATTATGCATTCACTTCTTCAACATACATTACACACACAATTTAACTGCAAAACAGAATTCACTTACAAAATAAACCTGCCTTTGTCTTTCTCTCCTATCAGTTTGACAAGGAGAGTGGTAAGGGAGCAGAGGAATGAAACATGCTCTGGTGAATACCATCATCTTAGTAGACAAGAAACCAATGATAGCAACAAAATTTCATCCCTTCCAAGAGGATTACACGTGAGACACAGTTATGTTGGAGGAGTAGGGGCAGAGTCAGTTGTTTCTACAGAAGAAATATATCACAGTCAAAATTTAAAAATAGTTACGGAATTAAAAATATTTCTGTGAAATATACTGCATTAACACCAGAGGCGACACAAAGTAAAAGAGAGTGGCATTGGCCACGCTTAGAAGAAGCTTATGATATAATAAAGGGCTAAAAGAAGTGTCCACATACCACGAGCAGGGTAATACAAATACTTGAAAGACTTGGGTAAGATAACAGAGCTGGAAATTTTTTTGGAGATTTACAAAAGAGAAAGATCACATTTGGCTGGGGAAAATCCAGAATGGCTTTGTAAAGAACTTTGTAAAAGAGGATGGAAAGGAAAAATGCCGGGGCATATGCTCTGAAAGGTGGGGAGATGTTCAGCAGGTAGAAGGGGACTCGAGGGAGAGAAAGCCAATTCAAGCAGCAGAAGGGATGTGCAAAGACACTAATGAGGACAATCGCAAGTCGTATTCCAGAATTTTGACTTTAGGTAGAGCATAGGCTCTCTGTAGGGTAGTTGCAGATTGCAGCATCTAAAAAGATGAGTTGGGAACATGTTGAAGGAATTGCCTGGTATAGCAGGCTACGAAACTTATGCTCTACTAACTGGAAAGGTAAGGAAGAGTCATCAAAGACTTATCAGAACACTGGGATTGAGGGACAAGTTATATGGACTAGCAATTTCTCTGTGCCTCAGGTTGTCATATGCAAAATGAAGGGGATGTGTTACAGGCACTGCTTTTGGAAGATTTCCCTCCCTTCAAATGTCCTATTTCAGAGAGGACAAGGGCAAAAATTATGGCTGAATCAATGAGGCAACTTGGTGCAAGAAACTTAAATATTTGTGCATTGGAATAGGTACAGAATGGATTGGCACTAGGGTTATATTTAGGACTTTATTACACAGCCTAGGTAAAAAGTTAAGACCCATAACCGGGACAATCATGAGATAGCACACACACTAGAAAAGCACACTGAAAAGAGGTACGGACTTTGCAACAAATGGAAGGGAAGAAGAAGGAGGAGGAAGAGGAGAAGAAGAAGGAGGAGGAGAAAGAGGACGAGAAAGAGGAGGAGGGGGAGGAGGGGGAGGATGAGGAAAAGAGTGGGGAAGGGAGAGGGGAGGAGGACAAAAGGACAGCACAGAAAAGCATGACTGAGGATAGCATAGATAAGCACGACAGAGCTTGGAGTAATTGGTAATTGGGAGAATGACGGTCCTATTAACAGAAGTAGTATAAGTTACGAGGAGGAGCCAGTTTGGAGCTGTGTAGTGGAAGGTTATGGATTTGGTTCAGGGCCTATTGATTTTATGGTATCAGTGGCCATCTGGGTCAAGTTATCCAGCAGGCAGTTGAATTAGCTTGAAGCTGGGGCTACATTCCTAGGAACCACGTGCAGTGGTGAGAATTAAATTCGTAGATAAGAGATGGGGACAGCAGGAACTCCAGAGGGAGTCCTTAGTGGTGAAGCCTTGGAGGGCGCCTGGGTGGCTCAGTTGGTTAAGAGGTGAAGCCTTGGGAGATCATCATGTTTAAGAAAAACCTAGAGAAGATGAGGCATGATTAGTTTGATTAGAAGGGTAAGTAGAAGGAAATCCTATTGTGCTTTGGAAATCCAGGGGTGCCAGATAATATATATTGGCTCCTCCAGATTCACTCCCCATCCTTCTCCATTCTGCTTTCAGTCCCAGAGACTGCCCCTGTATGGCTCCATGTCTTTGGCTTCAGGATGGGTTTAGTCAAAGGGGAGTCTGCCAGGAGATCCAAAGGAGGGGGGAGAGGAAGAGGTTTCATTGGGGTGGCTCTGACCCTTATCCAAAGGTTGCTCATGGCTCCTCTCAAGCACTTGCTATGCATGATTCTCTCTCCTTACAGGTTCCATAACTTTCCCTTGCCTTGTCCTTTAGGGCCAAAAATGGTAACTGCCCAGCTTCTGCCATATCTGAATTAATCCTATCCATATCGTTCCCTTAACTCTGCCTGCACTTTTATAATTAGTCCCTTATAAACTTTCCTAAGTTATCCTAATTTGAGTGTTTTGTTTTTCTCTTGTCAGGACCCTGATTGATATATATGCTGAACCCTAACATGAACAGTAAGTATTGACTAGCAGCCTGACTGGAAACATCAAGGTTGTCCTAGCCCCAATCAATATCTCTTTTTATTTACTGGAATCAACAGCAAAATTTAATTTCAGCCATAATTCTACCTAGTTCTTGGACTCCTACCCAGATCCTGCTTGCAATTGATTAAAAGGAACCTTTGGTAATCAAACTAAGCTAGGCCTAAAACCAACACCACACTTTTTGACAAAGATGCTGATCTATGCATAAGGAAATTGAGCACACCCACAGATAAGAGAGTAGCTTCCCTGATTCTCGATCCTCTCAAAATGGGCACAACCAGCAGTCTTGGCCGAATGCTGTAAGCTACAAAAGAATCCCTTCTCCTTGGCCACGTGAAAGAAATCCTTAGCGCTGCCCAGAGGTCAGTGGCCATCCATGGTTGGTGGTCCAGCTTCTCAGGTGCCTCTCGACTTTCAGAGCCATACCTTACACTGGATTTCTAGTTTAAAGAAGACTTCGAGGACAAAAATATCCAACTCCAGAAATCTAACCAAATCAATCCTGGGAGCCCATGGAGACAAACGCAAGATTACTTGTCTTTTTCAATGAAAATATTTTAGTGATGGGAATTATAGAGGGAAACTCCTGTAATCCTGGGATAAGGAGGGGCATCGTGAGATTGCTTATGTTTCTGATCCTTGGCCTGTCTCCGCAGAATCTCTAAGGACAGGGTTTTGTGGCCTTGGCAGGGATAAGCTTTTAGGTTTCAGGAGAGAAAGAGGTAGTCTTTGATAGTCAAGGAAGCATGTCTAAGTGGTGAATAAACACAGGGCTGAGGTTTCAAGAGCAGCTGGGGAGGGAATATGGAGCTGTTCCTCATCTTATTATCACAAAGAGACAGACTTCTGAGGCCTCTGAGTATTTCTTTAGTCACTGGTCCGACCTGTAGTACACTTCCTGATGGCGAAAAAACATTGAGAATGAGCCATCTCGAAGACCGCCAAGCTCTTCAGCATCGAAGGGCCAGGGAGGGAAGGGGGAGCAGATTTCTGATGAGTGACAGGTCCTGCTGTCAGGATTCTGCAGCAAGAGTCATAAGGCTGGCAGATGCTGCTAAAAAGGCAAGTCCCTTCCGTTCAAGGCAGTGCTTCTAGCATTTCAGAGCTGAAGTAGGGGTATACTCTGGGGGAGAGCCGTGGCTTAGTGTTGGAGATGAGAGCGGCTTGGCGCGTAAACCTTGACCCCTCAGCTTAACGTGGAAGCTACGGGGAAGGGATTCTGAACGGTGAAATTGGTTTCTGGGGTTGTTTATATTATCTTTAGGCTTGTGGTTCCCATAATTATTGACATTCCAAGTCTCACCTTGAGGCTCTAGGAGTGAGAATGTTATCCTAGCCATTGGCAGTTTGATGGCGATGTTTTAAGTCATTTCTTCTATGCATTTAGTACCTTCAACAGAAATGCAGGCCAAGATTTGCTATAAATAATCCTGATCAGGATAATCAAAAGCTGTAGACATGTGACTTCCTATTTCCCTTTCACTTTGATTTATATCTACTACGTTGTTTGAGATACAGCTACTCTTATTTATTACTACTAATTCCTTGACACCGAATCCTCCTGAACAGTATGTATCATTTTCCTTTTTTCCTGAATGTACATGCATGTTAAAAATCTTTCTTGTAAGTGGAGAAATTTATAGCAAACAGAAAATGCTGCATCAGTTCAAGTTATCAGAGAAATCCTGAAGGAATTGAAGCAAGTACATTTAGCTACGCTGAGCAGCAACAACACAATGATAATTCTGGGGAAGAAGAGGGAAAAGCATGACTGGGAAAATATAGACTGCAATAACAGGACAGTCTCGAAATGATAGCTCTGTGATATGAATGTGATATAAAATTCATTTTTAATAATCAAAGGTCTCATTTGCATAAGTACTTATTAAGTATCAGACACAGTTCTGAGCGCATTGCATACACCATCTGATTTAATCCTCACACCAACACTCTGAGATAGGTTCTGTCATTATTCATATTTGCTGCATGGTGACACTTTGCCCAAGTCACACTGTTTATAAGAAGATCAAGTATTCAAATTTAGGGGCCACCTTGGAGGCTGGTTACTCCAATGCCCACATGAAAAAGATGGCACTTTCAAATTAGAGAAGGCGTGTGTGTGTGTGTGTGTGTGTGTGTAGTTGGTTTTCTTAGAAATGGACAATTTACAAAGATGTGTGTAGAGATTAGGGAAAGTGCCCAGAGCTAGAGGCAGTAAAGTGATCACCTCTCCACCCAAAATGACAGGAGGAGAAGTTGGTGGAACTCTATAAAGGAGAAAGAGTCATGTTATTCTGTAGGGAGACGTTGCCAGCCACATGCTAGGACATGCAGAAGCTAATTGCTAGCATCTTTTCCCAACTCTTTATCAAATGATGTCACACTGGCAGCCATATAGGTTGTAGTGATAATCCTATACTGCAGAAATCAGCAAATACTACGAACAAGAACTCTCCCTCCTCCTCCTTCTTTTCAGAGAGCCAGTTGTTAAACATTTATAAGCATACTGTTGGATACAGCGAACCTGAGGCAATCTCTTAATGTGGGAGCTGAGAAAACTCACACCCAGACCTTGTTTTCAAGATGGAAAAAAACCCAACTCAATAGGGAGCCAGAGAACACTGGAGCCTCTTGATCGGTCTGTTCAAACCACCCTCTGGGGGAGACAGCAGATGGAGGAGAGTGGAGAGGGGAGAGTGGATACCTTCCTATCCATTCTTATCACCCCTGATTTCCCACAGCAATGGAGGTAACTTTGGCTGACAACTGGAAACAGTGGATTTTCTAGTAGGGTCAGCGAATTAGTTCATTTTTTGGTTTGTTTTTATTTCTTATTTTTTTAAACAATAGAAATTGACTCTAAGTTATTTTTTATGTATCTTTATTTTTATTTACTTTTCATATATATTATATGATATATAATATATAGTGATAAATATTATCTTTACTATTATATTATTTAATTTATTAGAAAGTTATCAGATTGCTCAGAAATTCAAGAAAGAACCTAAAGAATGAGGCTCACAAAGGGCAGAACCAGGCAGCTCTGGATTATCTAAGTGGTAGGAAGTAATCAATGATCCCTTCAAAGCATCTCTGTTGAAATAAATCCCATTCCATTTTTTTCTTTTAACAGACCTTAAGTGACCCTGCTCAAGATGAACTGTCCTAGAATAAAATTTGATTGGCCAACTTCAGTCAGTGATTACTCTTGGCAAGAAGACAGGGTTCCTTGACTGACAGTCCCACGGAGACTCTCCTAATAAGGAGCCCGTTATCTCCAACAAGGAATTCAGAGTGCTCTTAAGAACAGGAGGGCGAATGGGTGCTGGGAAGCCAAGTAACAGCAAATGTCCACTTCCATCTGGGACATGACCTTGCTACAGGGCCCCTCCTGAGTTGGGGGTGGGGGGCAGGGACCATTAACGTGGAAGTAATTGAGAATTAATTGTTCTTTAAAAATCTCCAGGCATAACGTCGATAGTTCAGAATGTAACACTATTTGACATTAACAGAGCTCACACTGAAAAATCACAGGTATGTAAATAAATGTTGGAATGAAAATAAATAAGAAACTGAAAGAAAAGCTGAGATATGCTGATGTTTAAGGAAGATCATATGTCACTGTTTTGCCAAACCTGATGAAAAGATAAGTATGTTCCAGCAGCATTCAGAGTAAGTGGAAAATTTACCATTAAACATAGAGCCAGGGGCGTGAGAAGAATGGGTTTGTAGGGGACTTTGTGGTCCACTTCAGTTGTAAATGAGTGAAGAGAAAATGCTTGACCTTCCCGGCTGTGGCCCTCTCGACCTACATGGTCCTCTCGCTCTTCTCTCTACTTCTCCAAGCTCTGCTGCCTTCAGGACCCAACACACATGTCTTTTCTCTCAGAGCCTTCCGGGACCAGCTCAATCCAGCCCAATCCATAATGAAATACCGCTTCTTGTCCCATGCACGTGGCACTTCCCAAATGTCCCCTTAGGTTGTCACACAGCTCCTGACATGTGCATCCTGACCTTCACTTAGGGTCCTGGAATAATGAAGGCAGGATCTGTCTGATGACGAGAAGTTGGCTGTTGGAGGTTTAACGTGACCTTTACAAAACTTGGTCTTTCTTCCCTTTTCTAGTTCCTCGTTCGCCTAAACCTTGAAAATAGGGACTGTAACCAGAATTTGTCTCTCCTCCTCTCTCTCTCTCTCTCTTTTTTTTTTTACACCACACTGTTCTGGAGAGAATTAATGAGAGGATACATGTAAAAGCCAACACAAGACTTACACTCCGATGTTTTCATTTTGTCAGATGCTCGTTGCCCTATCAGTCAAGATCTCCCAAGCACATAAGAAGATTCTTTTAATGGTTACTAATAATGGTAATATTGTCTCATGCTGCCTATTCTTCCTCAATGATCTCATCTATTTGGGCAGTTTCAGTTGTGGTCTTTAAGAGGATGACTTTCCATCTGCCTCCAGCCAACTCATCTCCCAAGCCCCAGGCCCATATTTCCAACCAGATGTTCTGTAGACCTCAGACTCAACAGGTCCTGAATTGAACCCATCCTTCCATACAAACCTGGTCCTTCTTGCTACTGAAGCCATTGACCACAATCAGAACTGGGCTAGATGCCACTTACGCCTGAAATCCCAGAAATGTTTCAGTTCCAGCATCTCCTTCTCACTGTCTCCCACCCAGTATCCTGCTGGAGTCTACCAATGTGTTCCTAAGGTTCCATTTTTTCTGCAGCCCTATGTCTGCCCTTCATTAAGTCTCAACTCAAATCTTGCAAGAACATCCTGACTAGTCCCTCTATCTCCACCCGCCACCTCAGCCCATGCTCTATGCTGTCACTAGAGTTCTGTCCTTAAAGACACTGGTAAGATCGTATCAGACCCCAGCACCCTCTCCACACACCAAAGCTTCTAGTCTTCCTGCTCTGACATATGAACAATTCCAGCTGTCCACAATATGTAGCCTCATCTCCTCTACAGTCCCCAAACTTCATGGCCTCATCTCCTCTACAATCCCCAAACCTGAAGCCTACTCCCTCCGCATTTCACATTCCCAGAATATGCCCTCCACTGTCATACAACCTTGTTAAGCTGTTTCCTTGTCTCAAATACTCTTGCCACCTGGCCCAGGATCCTCTTAATCTGGCATCTTCCAAGACACTTCACCAATTTTAACAGTTAACATTAATTGTTCCCACAACTAATAACTACCATTATAGAGAACTGAGTATGTGCCAGGGATTTACATACATTATCACGGTTAATCTTCACCACCCTTGAGCAAGTTAGGTATTACAGGCCCATGATCCCTTATCCAAAGCCTTGAGGCCAGCTGTGCTTCCAAATTCAGAATGTCTTGTTTTTTGGAAAGGTAATATAGTGGGATGTGTCTCAGTTTCCCCATCTGTAAAATGGGGAGGATGAGTACTAGCAGAGTACCTCTCTCATGGGATTGTTGTGAAACAGGTAATGTGTTCCTTCAGAGAAGGGCCTAGGGAAGTGCCCTTATGAAATGCACTATGAGGTCTATTTACTTGACTGTTATAAACAATACATAATAGCTTATGAACAAGACCTTACTAGGAAAATAAATGGCTCAAACAAATTTGTATCAGGAAAGTAATTTGAATGACGATAAGAGCCCTCATTTTGCTGGATGTTGTGCTTTCTTTTTTTTCTTTACTTTCACTTCCTTCTGCTACTTACCACACCCTTTATTCATCATTTCCTATCAAAATCACAGGCCTCCTGCTATTGCAATGAAAAGTCTTTCTTCATTTTTCCGGCCTACTTTACAATTAATTCATAATTTTCTCCAAAAAAAAATATATATATATGCTAGATAATTATTCCCTTCTTCTCTGACAAGAATAATTTATGACAATTAATGCTAGTTTTTAGAAATTCAGTGTAAACATCACCAACAAATTCATTTGCTTTACTCTTTTATGGGCCTGGATGCAGAAGAGACCAAGAATGTAGGGCCTGGAAGGGACCCTAAAGACCAGCCAGCATGCATGACCCGCTCTATCCAACTATCTTTTATACATGAAGAAACTAAGGAGAAGGGAGCTCCTGCTCAAGTTCACACAGCTAGTTAATGACACAACACTAGCTAGATCCCAACTGTCCCCATTCCCACCTACCCCCCCCCGCCATCCCCAAGCAACCACTGATCCACTTTCCATCAGTATAGATTATTTTCCTAGAATTTCATAAAAATGGAATCATACAATATTTTTTGAATCTGGCTTCTTTCACTCAACATACTGTTTTTGAGATTCATCTACATTGTTGCATGTATTGGAAGAGTGTTCTTTCTTATTGTTGAGTAGTATTTTATTTTAAAGATATATTGCAATGTATTTATCCATTCTTCTGCTGATGGATGTTTGGGTTATTTCCAGGTTTTGACTATTATGAATAAAACTGCTATGAACATCCTTGTATATGGCTGTTTGTGAATATATATTTTCATTCCCCTTGGGTAGATACTTACGAGTAGGTTTGATGTGTCATAGGATAGGTATATATTTCATTTTGTGAGAAATTACATTTGCCTTACATCTCCACCTAAATTTGGGGTTGTCAGCTGTATTAGCCAGGGTTCTTCAGAGAAACAGAGCCAATGGGCTATAAAAAGAGATTTATTATGAGGAATTGGCTTATGTGATTATGGAAGCTGAGAAGTCCCATGATCTGCCATCTGCAAGCGGGAGACCCAGGAAAGCCAATGGTGTAATTCAATCTGAGTCTGAAGGCCTGAGAATCAAGAGAGCCAATGACGTAAATACTAGTCCGGGGGCTGGAGAAGATGAGATGAGATGTCCCCGCTGAAGCAAAGAGGCAGAAAAACGGGGGAGGGGGAGGGAATTCCTCCTTCCCCCACCTTTTGTTCTACTTAAGCCTTTAACAGATTAGACGATGCCCACCCACACTGAGGAGAGCCATGTACTTCACAGAATCCATCAGTTCAAATACTAATCTCATCTGGAAACATCCTTACAGTCATACTCAGAAATAATGGTTAGCCAAATACCTGTTGAATCCCCTGATCCAGTCAAATTGCCATATAAAATTAACTCTCACATTAGTCTTTTAAATTTTCGTCTTTCTAGTACGTGTGAAGTTGTATTTATTGTGATTTGAATTTGCATTTTCCCGATGACTAATTTGTGTTTCCCTGTTGAATTTTTATATGATTATTGGCCATTCCTTATACCTTCTTTGTGAGGTGTCTATTCAAATCTTTTGCCCATTTTTAATCTATTATGTTTGTCCTTTTAAATTTTTTTTTTTTTAAGAATTTATTTTATTTATTTGACAGAGAGAAAGACAGCGAGAGAGGGAACACAAGCAGGGGGAGTGGGAGAGGGAGAAGCGGGCTTCCCGCAGGGCAGGGAGCCCAATGTGGGGCTCCATCCCAGGACGCTGGGATCATGACCTGAGCCAAAGGCAGATGCCCAACGACTGAGCCACCCAGGTGCCCCACGTTTGTCCTTTTAATATTGAGTTATAAAAGTTCTTTTTTTTTAAAGATTTTATTTATTTATTCATGAGAGACAGAGAGAGAGAGAGAGGCAGAAGCAGAGGGAGAAACCAGCTCCCTGCAGAGCAGGAAGCCCGATGCGGGACTTGATGCCAGGACCCTGAGATCATGACCTGATCTGAAGGCAGATGCTTAACGAGTGAGCCACCCAGGCACTCCGAGTTATGAAAGTTCTTTATGTATTCTGAATACAAGTCCTTTGTCAGATATGTGTGTTACAAATATATTTTTCCAAGCGGTGACTTGCATTTTCTTATTATTAAAGACGTCATTAGGAGAGCTCATTTCAAAAATTGTAATGAGCTCTAATTCATCATTACTTTCTTCCATGGGTTGTGGTTTTTTTGTATCCTATCAAAAACACCCTTTTTTAACGTACTCCAGTGTCACAGAGATTTTTCTCCTATTTTTTTCCAGAATCTTTATTGTTTTAATTTTTGTATTTATGTCTATGACCCACTTTGATTTATTTTTGTGGATGGTGTGAGGTGAGTTGAGGTTCGTTTTTTTCTGTATAGATTTCTAGTTGTTTCAGCACTGTTTGTTGAAAAGATTATACTTTCCCACTGAATTATCTTCCTACCATTGTTGAAAATCAAGGGACCACGAATGTCTACCTCTGTTTCTTTACTCTGTTCTACTTTGTTGATCTATATATCTATTGTTAGGACAAATCACAGTGTCTTGATTACTGTAGCTTTATAATAAGGCTTTAAATGGGTAATTTCTCCAAACTTTTTTTTCAAAATTATTTTGGTTATTCTTGGTCATTTTACAATCAGCTTGCCAATTTTTATAAAAAATTCTGTTGGAATTTTTATTGGAATTGCATTGAATCTACACATCAATTTTGGGAGAATTGACAGTCATTCATATTGATAATATGAAATCTTCTAAACCATGAATATGGCATATTTCACCATTTATTTGAATCTTTAAATTCTCTTGGTAGTATTTTGTATTTTTCAGTGTTTAGGCTTTGCACATATTTAATTTTCCATAAGATTACATTTTTATGTTATAAACAGAATTTTAATTTAATTTTTTTCGAACTTTATTTTTTGTTTGTTCCATTGTATAGAAACACAATCGATTTGTATATATTAACCTTATATCTTGAGCACTTATGAGTGCTAGTAGCTTTTTTCTTGGTTCTTCAAAACTTTCTATGAATAAAATAACTTCATTTGTGAATAAAACCAACTTTACTTCTCCATTTTCAGTTTGTATGCCTTCTGTTTCTCCCTTTCTTTCCTTTTGTTGTTTTTTGTTTGTTTGTTTGCTTGTTTTATTGTCTTGCCAGAATCTCTAGCACAATGTTGAACAGAAATGGTGAGAATGGACAAGCTTGCCATATTGTCAATTCTAAGAAAACATCCAGTCTTTCAACACAAAAGATGATCTTAGCCTTAAGATTTTTTGGTTTTGTTTTGTTTCATAGATGTTCTTTATCAGGTTGAGAAAGTTACTTCCTATTCCAAGTTTATTGAGAAACTTTATCAAAATTCACTCTCAATGTGGTGAGTTACATTGATCGATGTTCAAGGGCTAACCAATTTTGCATTCCTGGAATGTTATCATTTTTATATCTTGTTCAAGACGTATTATCCTTGTTATATCTTGCTGAATTTGATCTGCCAAACTTGTTAAAGATTTTCGCATCCATGCTCATGAAGAATATTGGTCTATAGTTTTCTTCTCTTGTAACATTTATGCCTATTTTGGTGTCAGGTTAATATTGGCCTCATACAATGATTTGGAAGTTATTCCTTTCTTCTGTGCTTTCTGAGATGGTTTTTGAAGGATATGTATTATTTCTTCCTTAAATGTCTGATAGAATTTACAGGGAAGCCATCTGGGCAAGGTTTTAAATTACTAATTCAATTTCTTTAGTAGGTATGAGATTATTTGAATTTTCTATTTCTTCTTATGTCCCATCTGATAAATTCCGTCTTCCAAGGAAGTTGTCTATTTCATCTAAGTTGTCAAATTTATTTACATAAGTTTTTCATAATATCTCCTTATTATCCTTTAATCCCCAGTAGGCTCTATATGTTCTTTTATTCCTGATATTGTTAATTTGTACCTTCTCTGTTTTTTCATTGATCTTTTCAAAGAACCAGCTTTGGTTCCATTAATCTTCTTTGTTTTTATTTGTTTTTTGTTTCATTGACTCTTGCTATTTCTTTCTAGCTGGTTACTTTGAGTATAATTGGCTCTTCTTTTTCTAATTTCTTAAGGTCAAAGCTTATATCATTGACATTAGACCTTTTCTCCTTTTCTAATATAAACATTTAAAACTGTTAAGTTTCACTCTAAGCACTGCTTCAGCAAAACAAATTTTGAAATACTGTGTTTTCATTATCATTCATTTCAAAATGTTTTATTTCCCTTGCAATTTCTTTGACTCATGGGTTATTCAGATATGTGCTATTTAATTTCAAAGTATTTGGCACTTTCATTTATTTTACTGTTATTATTTCTCATTTAATTCTATTGTGGTCAGAAAATATGCTATGTAAGATTTCAGTCTTTTGAAAGGGACTTATTTAATGGCCCAGGATATGGTCTGTTTTGATGAACATTTCATATGTGCTTGAAAAGAACGTGTAGTCTGAATTTGTTGAGGGTATTGTTCTATAAATGTCAATTAAGTTAAAGCAGTTGATAATGTTGCTCAGATCTTTTTAAATTCTTACTAATTTTTTGGCTATTTGTTCTATTAATTACTGAAAGAAGCATATTAAAATCTCTAACTATGTTATTCATTTGTCTATTTTTCTTTAGTTCTACCAGTTTTTGCTTCATGTGTTTTGAAGCTCTACATTTATTTTGTGTTACAACAATAGATACAATTGTTATGTATTGTAACAATTAATAATATATCCTCATAAAATATCCCTCTCTGCCTCTTATTAAACTTTCTTATTTTATCTATTTATCTTTTTTTTTTTAAAGATTTTATTTTTATTATTTATTTGAGAGAGAGAGAATGAGAGACAGAGAGCATGAGAGGGAGGAGGGTCAGAGGGAGAAGCAGACTCCCTGCCGAGCAGGGAGCCCGATGCGGGACTCGATCCCGGGACTCCAGGATCATGACCTGAGCCGAAGGCAGTCGCCTAACCAACTGAGCCACCCAGGCGCCCCTATTTATCTTTTATTAATATAGACACTCTAGCTTTTTTATGCTTACGGTTTGCCATCTATATCTTTTTTGATACTTTTAACTCTATTGATGTCTCTGCAGTTAAAGTGAGGCTCTTGTAGACAGCAAATGTTTGGGTCTTGCTTTTTTATCCAATCTGACACAGTCTCACAATCTCTGCTTTTTGATTGGAGTGCTTAGTCAAGGGGCATCTGGGTGGCTCAGTTGGTTAAGGGCCTGCCTTCGGCTCTGGTCATGATCTCAGGGTCCTGGGATCCACTCCTGCATAGGACTCTCTGCTCAGCAGGGAGTCTGCTTTTCCCTCCCGCTCTCCCTCTGTACTCTCCCTCCCTCTCTCTCTCTCAAATAAATAAATAAAATCTTAGGGGCGCCTGGGTGGCTCAGTCGTTAGGCATCTGCCTTCAGCTCAGGTCATGATCCCAGGGTCCTGGGATCTAGCCCCGCATCGGGTTCCCTGCTCCGTGGGGAGCCTGCTTCTCCCTCTCCCACTCCCCCTGATTGTGTTCCCTCTCTCGCTGTGTCTCTCTCTGTCAAATGGATAAATAAATAAAATCTTTTTTTTTTAAATGGAGTTCTTAGTCAATTTAACATTATTTTTTATCTGATTGGATTTTGGTCTACCATTTTGCTATTTGCTTTCTATTTGTCTTATCTGTTTTTGTTCCTCTGTTCCTCTTTTCTTACCTTCTTTGTGTTAATCAATTATTGGTAGCATTGCATTTTAATTCCTGTATTTATTCTTAGTTGTATCTCTTGGTATTATTTCTTTAGTGATTGCCCTAGGGATTACAATCTCTATTTTATCACAATTTACTTAGAGTTAATGTTGAATTAATGGTAAATTTGAAATACAGGAACCCTGTGACAATATGGTTCCGCTTCACATTCACTCATTGTGCTAGTGTTATATATATATATTACATTTGTATGTTTTATAAACCAAATAATACTAGATTCCAAGTTTCTGATCTTTCATGCCTGATTCATGATGAGATTTTGAATTTCAAACAACACTCTCAACAGTTATAACTTGACCCAACAAGGTCAAAACCAATTTCTCATTGCACTAAAAAAATTCCGAAAAACATTTCTTGTCTTAATGCCATTATAAAAGCTAGTGATGGGGAAACCTGAGCAGCTCACTGAGGTTTATTCCTTGCCTCTGAAATAAACGTTTGGAATATTTAAATTTCAAAGTTGAAAGAGAATTTAAAATCTTCTTGTCAGCACTCTCATTTTGTACCCAAAGAAATGGCATCCAGATATGTAAAAGACTGATCTGAGATCACATGCATTCATTCATTTAGTAATTCACTGAAAAACTCACCATTCATTGTAAAAATGTTTATGAAGTGCTTACCATATACCTGTTAATGAAGATACAAAAATGAGTAAGAACTAAAAGGCATTGAATTGTACACTTAAAACTGGTGAGTGTTATGGTGGGTAAATTATTCCTCAGATAAAGCTGTTAACAAATGAGTAAGATCCAGTCCTTTCCGTCAAGGAGATCAGAGTGTAATGGAAGTGTAAGACACACATAGATGATTGTACAATACATACTGTAATTACAATGCAACACATATTGTAATTACAATAAAATGTGAACATGCTATAACAGACCTGTATGCTTAGCCACTTAACACTGGAGAACCCTGGGACTCAGGCTTGGACCTCTTCTATTTTCTTTCCACAACCACTCCCTTTATGATCTCATTCAGTAACATGGCTTTAAATATCAGTTGTATGCTGACGACTCCAAAATTTCTATCTCCAGCAGATGTCTCTCCCAAATTCCAGACTCATACATCCAACTGACAAACTGATATCTCTCCTTTAAAGGCTAATTAGCATCTCAAACTCAACATCCAAAACCAAATTCCTTATCTTCCCCCTCTAAATCTGCTCCTTCCACAACCTTCATCATCCCAATTCATTAACAGCTCCATCTTTCTAGTGGCTCAGGCCAAAAAACCTTGAAGTCATCTTTGACTTGTTTCTTTCTGTCATTTAATCCATCATGAAGTCCTGTTGGCTCTACAATCGACATAAATCCAGAATCTGACCACTTCCCACCACCTCCCCTGCTGCAATCCTGGTCCAAATCACCATTTTCTCTTGTCTGGAGTATTGCCTTGTCCCCTAACAGTCCATATTCTATAAAACAGAAGAACCCTTAAAAATGTAACTCAAGTCAGTTCTCTGATCAAGTCCTCCAATGGTTTCCCATCTCCCTACTAGTTAAAGCCAAAGTCCTCACAGGGGCCTCAAAGACCCCATAAAAATCTGGGCTCCCATCTCCACTCTCTTATCTTTCTTATCTAGTCTCCACTACTGTTCTTTCTGCTCACTCTGTTTCATGCACATGAACTTCCTTGCTCTTCCTCAAATATTACTGGCAAGCTCTTCCTTCAGAGCCTCTGAATTGCCATTCCCTCTACCTGGAGCTCTCTTCATCAGATATCCCCATTGCTCACTCCCTCCCCTGCTTCAAGTCTTTGCTCAGATGTCACCTTCTCCCTGAAGTCTTCCCTGATTACCCAATTTCAATTTGTAAGCTTCTCACTGGTACCCTGGCACTTCCTATTGTTCTCTGGCTCTATTTTCTCCATAAGCACTTATCACCTTAAATATACCTCATAAACAATTTACTTATTTGGTTCATTTTCTGTTTTTCCCCAATAGGCCAAGAGCCCTATGAAGGCTTGTCTGTGTTCATCACTGTTTTGCAGCATCTAGAACAGTGCAGTATTCAAGAAAACGTTTGCATGAGTGTATCAATGTGCCTAGTGCTGTGAGAGAAGGAAATGGGTGAGTTTTCTTCTGTGACCAGGCCAGGTTTGTTTGCTTGTTTGTTTGTTGGTTGGTTTGTGGGAGGGCCATGATGGAGGAAAGGTTGCTAAATGTCAGGGGAAAGTTAACTGTGCAAGTGACAGTTGAACTTAGCTGTGAAGGATGATCAGGAATTTTCTAGACAGAGAAGATAGTGAAGGGCATTCCAGGTAGAAGGAGTAGCATGTGCAAGAGCAATATTTTACAAAAGCATGGCATGAGCATAAAATGCCAATGAGTATGACATGAAGGCAGAGTGGAGTAGGGAAAATGAATTGATGGGTCCAGAGAGGAGGCCTGGAGGGCTAATCAGAGCCAGCCATGAAAGATGGAGCCAGATTAGAGCTGGCTCTTTTAACTCCCTCTCCAGTGCCTTGTTCATTGCTTCAGAAAAACTCTTTTCAGCCTAAAACTTGTTTTTCCTTTGGGGATTATAGGTTGATACCTTTACTACCCATGTTTACTTTTGTAAATAAATTATATTCATAACCCCAGAATGTGAGATTTAAGACAGGTGATTCTAAGAGTATGTACATTTTAAAAAACAAAAAGCTGAAAGTGTTTGTATTTTGAGATAGATTATAGATTTTTTTATTATATTCAAATCCAAAAGACTGAAATAATCAAAATTTCCAAAGAAGTGACAGCTGGTGCCTGGTGCAAGCCTATTTTCGCCATCAATTTAGAGTTCAAACTCTGTAGGAAAAAAATGCCAATGATCTAACACACAGAGGACTATGGAAATGGGTGTAAAATTGGGGGGGGGGGTGAAAAATGTCCTCCACATTTTTTTGGCAGTTGACAACTGACACTGGTATTATATTAGCTATTATATATTTGAATTATTAAATTAAGCAGTGAGGAGTAGGAAATTGTAGGAAGTGAACTGATCATGGACTATAATATTGTTTTATTCTCAAAAGTGACATTTCTTATACTTGAGTTTTTCTTAATTCCATTGTAAGGCTGAAGATCTTGCACCTTTTAACTTTGTCAGGGTTAAATATTAAACATTAAAAATAAGCAATCAGCAGAACAATTATCTTATTCGTTCAACAAATATTTGACAGCCTATATCAAAAAGGAATGTAATTTGGTTTTAGATTCCACACGACACAAAAGCAAGTAGTTATTTCTCTTTCTTAAAATAACCATGAAGAATAACATTGATCTATAGTGTGGAGATTAACCGTTCAAATTAACTTGTAAACTTAGAGTCTTATGTGGTTTAGATGAAACAGTTGTGAGAATCCCCCGGAAGTCCTATGGAAAGCATATCATTTTCACTGACTTGTATGTGCAACAACTGCCTAAAATTTTGTTGGAAGTCGTATCAGCCTATACTTAGCTTCAAACAGAGATATTTCTAAGATTCCTTACATCGGAGTGAACTCATCCTGCACCCAGCACTTGAGAGCCTTGGTACTACCACGACAAGACCCATTTTCTCTGTATAAACGTATATATTCATAGCATTTTTAAATTGCATTCCTTGCAATATGTAGCAAGAGCCACACAGATGCTGTCACTCTGACCTAGCAATTCTACTCCTGGGAACTTATCCAAAGGAACTAATTCCACAGAAACAAAAATCTAGATGCACAAAGATTTTTTTATTACAGGGCCATCTATAACAGCCAAAATTGGGATACAATCCAAGTTTCTACAAGCAGAAAATGATGTTAAAAAAGTGTAGTGCATCAACAAGATGTCATATTACCTGATCGTTAAAAGTCAGAACCATGAAGAGACTGCAGAAATGACAAAAATATTTTTGATAAACCTTGAATTAAAAGGTAGTGTTTTAAAAATGGCATTTACTGGGGTGCCTGGGTGGCTCAGTCGTTAAGCGTCTGCCTTCGGCTCAGGTCATGATCCCAGGGTCCTGGGATCGAGCCCCACATCGGGCTCCCTGC